AGTCCTGTGGTGAAACATTCTACAGTTCATCCTGTATTGACTATTGTTGTGGCTCGTGGTTGGATCTTGCACCAGATTGATGTACAAAATGCATTTTTACTTGGTCACCTTCAAGAGGAAGTATATATGACACAACCTCCAGGTTTTCATCATCCTCAATTTCCATGTTGTGTGTGCAAACTGCAAAAGTCTCTATATAGACTGCGACAAGCTCCTCGACAATGGTTTGCAAAATTAACTAAAACATTGCAGCAGCTTGGCTCTGCTGGCAGTAAGGCAAACACTATTATATGTTTATCAAGACACTACAAGCATCATATACATCCTCATCTATGTTGATGATATCATTATCACGGGATCCAATACTTCTGTTGTGAATAGTCTAATATCTTACCTTCACAAAAAATTTGCAATTAAATATCTTGACACTTTTGTCATATTTTCTTGGAGTTGAAGCACTTCGCTCTTCTGAATGTATTTATCTCACTCAAAGAAAATACATTGTTGAACTCCTGAAACACAATAATATGGATCGTGCCAAACCTTGCCTTACACCATTCTCTACAACCACAAGTTTATCCTCCACTGATGAGGGTGACTTTGAAGATCTTTCATTCTACCACAGTATTATTGGACGATTACAATGTCTGTCCTTTACTCGACCTGACATCACCTATGTTGTTCATCATGTTAACAAGTTCATGCATTACCTTAAAATCTCACATTAGCAGACAGTAAAATGTATTTTGTGTTTTCTAAAGCATATGTCTCTCATGCCTTGCTATTGTCTCGTTCTTCTGGCCTTCAATTTCAAGCATTCTCAGATGCAGATTGGGTAGGTGATAAAGATGATCGTCATTCCGTAGGCGCTTATTGCATATTTCTTAGAAATAACTTGATCTCTTAGCAATGTAAACAACAATCTATCGTGGCTCGTAGCAGCACAAAAGCTGAATACAAAGAATTAGCCAATATAGCTATTGAATTACTTTGGCTTCAATTACTCACAAAAGGAACTTGGTCTTTCCATGACACAACCATCTGTACTTTGGTTTCATAATACTGGAGCTATGTACCTCACCGTCAATTCGGTCTTTCATGCTCAAACTAAGCATATTGAGATCGATTTCCATTTCGTACACAATCTGGTCACAAGAAAGCATATGATTGTAAAGTTTATCTCCAGTTGTGATCAACTAGCTGATCTTTTAACATAACCACTATCAGTTACATGTTTCACAGCTCTTTTAGAGAATCTCAGTCTTTGTAGCCTACCCTTGAGATTGCGGGGATGTGTTGAAGAACAAGTATTGTGCAAATCTCAACCACCTGATGTGTAGGAGAAGATCATGGAGATCATGTTGCATTTGTCATTTAACCTGTTATTTAAATTCAAATTCAAATCCAAATGTCATGCGTAGATTAGAGTTATCATGTTATCCTTTGTTACACTATAAATACATATGTATATAGTTCAGTTTATATACAACAGAAATAATACATAAAACTTTTATTTCATTCCATTCTTTAAATTCTATATGAACCCAAGATAAGTATAGAACTTTTTTGAGTTAATAATATCAAGTTGCATTAGATATAATTATTTCTTACAGCATTTGAAAGATTCATTTCTAAGTATACTTTTTGAAGGATTAATGCCTGTTCAAGTAAGGCTAATAGTGTACACTGTACTGGACGTTTTTTTTTCCTAAACTTGGGGATCGTTTGGCAGGGATTTTGAAAAGTAAAGCTACTTTAGAGAATAAGAAGCTGATTTTAAGCATATTTGAATAATTTTTTAAAGTACTTTGTCTAACTAGAAGAATAAAAGTTCAATCATCTAAATAAATATTTAGAAACTCTTTTAAGCGCGATACCAACTTGTTATGATAATTGATTCATATTAACAAACTTGTTATTTTGAAATGCCTGAAAAGAGCTTCATGAATCCTTCATCAACCTATGTGGTAATAGTATTCATGTTGGGGAAAAATCCAAACAATGCTGTTGCGGAAGCTCTCTCAAAAGATCTTCAAACGGTGGTTTTCCAGGCTTAGTCCAACGTACCTTTCTCTACCAACAACCAATCCAAACGGCTCCAAACCACAACCAATTGATTCACCTTGGTTGCTATACAATCTTACCCACGTAGGACAAGAAGGGATGATGATTTACGGCCACAAAGGCTAGGAGAAGACACCACAAAGGTATACTATGAAAGAACCACCAATTGCACACGTTATACAAGCGTTCTGGACACTTCTGGACACCTTTTTCTCACACAAAAAGGGGGTAGCCGGGATTCACTAGTTTCTTCTCTCAAAATCACACAATCATCATCACCAAGAGGCTACGGTTATATTCATATATATACTCTAGGGTTAGGCTTTAAGTTGGGCCACTAAAGGGGTAAGCGGGCCAAGATTCAAGCCATCCATAAGGAATACAATTGGGCCGGGTGTAGCTCATGGACTTGGTTGTTAGACTTATTTCATTCATCGGCCTATGCCTATGAAATAATATTAACCCACGTTAACATCATAGCCCGGGATTTATTGGGTATCAAAAACCCAACAAATCTCCACCTTGATGCCCAATAAATCTGCAAGCAATCAAAACACACAGTTAACACTTGCATAATCAAGGTAGCCAATAAAATTGGATCACAGACCTTACCTCGTGCAACTTGAAACACATACCATACCTGCTCCATGTACTCACTGGGGCTAAGGTCAAAAAACACCCAAGTAGAGGCAAATATTTAACAGTGAACAATCAAGAGCAACTACACATGCGATGCTGATATACTATAGGATAACACACATAGATCTTTTCAGAAACATGTTCACATAGAACCATAGATTAACACCAAGTCAATCAAACCACGGTCAACCACATATGCAACACATGCATAAATGACCCTAAGAAAGGATCTTACCACACTTATCCCATCCCATTCCGTGTTGCTCACACCTCGAGAACACATATCTCCTCTCATCGCCCACCACGCTCACTAGACAGATCACTCAACTCATGTCTAACTGGTGAGTCATAATAGATCCTAAGTCCACGGGATAATCCTCTATCTCCACATCACTTCTCCCAACCTACGTGGATAATGGGTCTCCACCTAATAGAAGTGATAGAAGTGTCTCTCTTACACTCCACCTGATCAGGGTCTCTTTCCAGATAAAGGATCCTAGACATTTGATCACATCTCCACTCGTGATCCAAATGTCACACTCCACATCCCCGGTACAAACCATCATGTATCCCTAAGCATCTAGACACCACCTCACCAAAAGACACACAACACACTGCTAATGCATCGTAACCCACTATGCATGCAAGCAATTACACCAAGTAATCCTAATGTCTCAAATTCATGCAAATGCACATATCAAACACATTGAAATGTAGCAGATAATTATGCAACAAAATTTAGACAATCACACACATGCAGAAAGGATCACACACAGATGCATATGCAGTGACTAGGTTTACACTCAATAAACCTCACTGGGGTCATAACTCGACCCCTCAACCAAATTCGTCTCACCTCTCATCTTTCCCTTCAGCTTATCTTTCTTCTTGGGACAGTCTCTAATAAAGTGTCCAGACTTACCACAACTGTAACACCTTTTACCACTAGACTTGTCTCGTCCCTTGCCCTTCTTCTTACTACCCTCATCACTCGAGTCA